AACTCTCGTCCACGTTCGGCCAAATACAATCGCGTACATCCGAAGGCAGACAGAAAATTTTCAAATATACTCATCCGACAGAGCTGGCAGACTACTTCTTTCGTATTTATCCATCCGGAGCTACGGTTTTAGCAACAACCATGCGCGCGTATCAAGTATCGAATTTAAACCCACAGTCATCCACATTCTCTTCGCTTCGAACAATATCATTCCCGGTATCACTCTCTCTTTTTCTCTTTGTGTCTCTGTCTCTCCTCCTGTCTCTCTTCGTTCTATTTTATAATCCCTTTTCACTGCGTTATACTATGTGTACATAAATATTCTCCCTCAACCAAACAAGTATTTTTTACTAGCTTTCGAAAATCTATCTCCATCTTTTGCAATATTTTTGCAGCTTGTGGCGGCCTATATCTTTTGCGAAAATACAAAACGCGCATGTTAACGTAATGACTTGCAAAAAATACCAGATAACAAGAAAAACACATTTTTTCGAGAGCTTTTTTCGAATTAATGCTGTGTGCTATTTTTATGTAGCAAAAAAAATAAAATTCTTAATAAATATTAATAAAATTTCGGCGGAATAGAAACAAATTTCTAAAATGAGAAATTGTTTATTACGTAATATTGCCCGAATATATTAATTTGAAATTTAAAAAATTAAAAAAATTAATTTTTTATTACAAATTAATAAAATACTTTTTCATGTCAGAATTCCTTTTCATTAAGTGCTTTCTATAGAATGGAAAATGCTTCTACTAATTAAATTTTTATCATCGATACCTATGCGTAAGTGCACGTACTCATTGCAATTTACGATCAAAGTCAAAGAACATAACAACTGGCATTCATCGACCGATTGACTCATTCTGTTCTGGGAATTAGGTTATGACATGCACGATCAAATCATAATTCGTCATTAAGAACGTGACATCACTTGCCACAAGTACTTATAAAATTACATCTCCTCTCACGTGATGAATACGTCTACAGGCGCGAAATGGATCTTGCTCGACCGCAGAAATGCAAGACGCATCAACGAATTTATCTGGAATGCGTCTTACGTATTAATTGCAAGTATATTGCATTCCACGTCCAGCATTCACAATTGCATCAGACATGCATCGACCTTTCATTACAGCTCAAGGCGAACGCGAGTTTAATCGAAAGGCAAAAGGCGAGTTTGTGCAAACGTGACCTTAAACTTTCCAAGGCGTATTTCAGATCATTTTACGATGGCACGCACGCGATGTTGATATATATGCGTGGCATTTTTACACATCATGTTACTTCTATCGAAATATGTATTACATGTATATATCATGAGCATCGATCGCCGCGACACACGTGTTCAGAATTACATTACAGATTTTGTTACAAATGTTCACATTTCGAATGTTTTTTTTTTTTTTTTTTTTTTTACATTATCTTTATAGCCAGCTTTAAAAATGGATATTACAAAACAAATTGGATTATCGCGTATTATGTAATATAAATATAATATACTCGAGAAATTTTAAAAACATTCGAAATGATAAGATTTTCGTATTAAAAGATTAAACTGCAATCTGCATGAAATTTGTACAAAAATAAAATTTTTCACGAATCATATCACACATAAGCAGCAAATGCAATAATGCTGGTATCGGTTGTTGCTCGTATAACCTAGATCGATAAATGCTATTGGATTTGTTTTATATCTGTGCCACGATAATCAAACTTGTTTTACGTGGTTTATATACGGCACGTGAGGAATATAATTTAATCGGATAAAGGAGAAAGAGATTAACGGAAGACTTCATATCAAGGTTTTACCGTTTTATATGACAATCAAATATATGAAAATCAAATTTATATAACAATCAAATTTAGATGATATAGCGGATCAAATAGACGAATATCAAATTGAAATAGTACCAAATTTATTAGTTATAAAACGAGATATATTTTCTATAACGGTAACATTACGGCACATCATTAATTCGATGTAAAAATAGCTCTTATCTGTTAACACAATGTTCCAGTTGCCCTAAATTTAAATCAAAGTTTGAATTTTCGTTTAACATCCACTTAATTTTTCATAAACCAATAAAAAATATTTAAAGCAATTATCTTTTAAAAATGTTCGAGAAAGGATGATTAAATCAAATAAAATAATCACATACTATTTTTATCAAAAATAATAAATAATTATTCAGTTAAGAATTAATTTCGTTTGCGAGAAATAGTTTATCGAGTATTTCGACGTGTTCGTCCTTAAATAAGACTGCCGCGATAATTGCAAAATAATCAACGTCCTGCTTGAAAGCCTCTTAATTGGTCGCGACAAGTTATTCGCAGGTAATGAGAAATTTTCTTTGATTATATCGTAATATTAATTGTTTATCCGACCAACGCTTTCCTACAAATCGGCTGTCATTTCGTTCACTAATAAATCACGTATAATAACTAAAATAATTTAATATAAAAATATTTAAATAAATTGCGCTTAAAATCCGCGTGATAGTCTATATATAAATCTTCAAAATCATGAATCATATCGATTTATGATGTAACAAATTTTTTATAAATGCATATATTTTAATTAAATAAAAACTAGGATTTATATATGAGAATTCCGTACCAATAAAAATCTTACGGAAGCAAATTAATTGATATTAATCTATATATCCGTTTTCATTAAATCAGAAGCTTTTAGTACCGTAAATTTATTAACCGCTATAAAATATTGTTCTTGCGAATTAATGTAAATTAATAACAATAAATCTTTGTTGTATCATTGTTTTATCAAGGTCTACATTCTTCGCAAATATGTCTTTTCATATTTTGATATCTTTCCAATATATTACACATTTAAAGATCTTCCAATATTTCCTTCGATTCATTTTTTCGAATTAAAAATCTTGTAAAAACGCATATTTCTGAATGCAATAACAATAAAAAGAGATATTAAAAGATATTAACAATGATAAGATTAAAAACGATAAGAACTTCAAAATAATACGCTTGATTGTGTTAATAATATCGAATAATATATACATTTATAATAATCTAAACGTATATTATACGATATTAAGAGTAATTAATATATTATTTCAAAGAGAGGGTTAACGCGATATCTATCTCTGCAACTTTTAATCACGCTTGAAATTTGATAATCTTCATATTCGTCTATTTAACTTGAAATATAATATATTCTGGAATATAACTTTACAATAATTTATCGTTATTAAATTTATTTAGTATTGAGATGATGAAAAACTCGATTTTTTTTAGTACAGCTACGTAATAAAATTTCTATGAAAAATTGATTCTATAAAAAAACAGCACAACCATAGAAAATTATGTCTACAAATAAAATAAAATAATTTGTCTCTTTCTCTCATTTTTAATGAACTGCTGAATTTCCAAATCGAATTACGTGAGCAAAATTAATAATGATATTATCAAATTGCTCGGATATTGAACCGAATCAAATGAGGGGCCGTGATGAAAAACTTTTAATTTGTTGTGGTAAATATTTTAATAATCTATATTGTAGGAAGAATATTTTAAATATTCGTTAAATTTTTTGGTTATGTATTGTTACCATCACGTTAATTCAAAAACGATTGCAGTACAAAATGTACATATCAATATAACTCTTGCTATAACTTAGCGAATATATATATATATATATATATATATATATATATATATATATATATATGTATTATTGTGACTCATCCATATTTTTATCTGATATACCATATTTTATTTGACATATTTTTATCTAGCATATTTTTATCTTTTATTTATTATCTGACTCGATAAGTTCTAATTATTATACTGCCACAGGGATCTGCTTTCTTTCGAATGAAACGAAATGAAATTTACGTATTACAGCAATATCTCATATTGTACTCATCAATCTAACTGTTTGTCAAATGTATTGATATCGAAATATTAATTTCACATTTTAAACTTTACATTATAATCATATAAACTATGAATCAAAGACCTCACTTTCACGAATATTTCCTAAATTTTTAAATTTCCTAAATTTTAAACGTTTATTTTATATTAATTATATCTGTATCTCCTGCGCTGCTATTTCTCTCTTTCCGGTATTCGTATAATATATATTTATTTTATTGCACATTTTTCGGTTGAATTTATACATTTATGTCGCGTAAAGAATTATCCGCAGAATATTATAAGTATGAGATATATTTATATCGAACATCTTACATATTTTATTTTATATCCACCATAATCACCTAACCTAGTTTCGTTTATTTAATATTAATATCACGCTGTTAGTTCGATCCTCAAATTACATTCACGTATTATTATATTCACATCAATTATACATACGCGGAATATCTCGGCGATGTTACATTTATAACGCGCCATTACCCACGGCTCCGAATTCGTTTCGCTCTAGACGGACGCATTCGGGAAAATCTCTCATCCCGGCTTCCATGAATCGGATAATCTCGTCGATGACGATCGCGGGAGAAGCGCGAGCGTCGTATTTTCCCGCCAGCGTTTATATTCCTTTCGACGCGTCGTTTCGTGCAAAGCGCAACCATCACCTACACCAAGCCCCTTTGGCGCTTCTTCTTCCTTTTGGAAGCACTCTTCCCACGAGTTTCCCTTTCCCGCGATGAGAACTACGAGAGGAAAAGTTACGACGCGAGTGCCGCCCGTCATTTACCTAAATGCGCTTACTTTCCCCGAGATAACGATCGCAAAGAGACCATAAAATCCTTCTTCCCGAATGCGTCGATCATGGCGATCACACGATGCTATATTAACAAACGACGCGTGCGTCGCTTAAAAGACGCATTGTACGAGAGTCGCAATAAAATCTCGTTATAACGAATTCCGAAATTTACGCGTCGTATATACGCGTCGGTAGCGCCATCGTCGTCGACCAATGCGGCCACGCTGTCAAATTATAATTCGTCATAACGAGATTTCACTGTGCGACTGCAACTGTATAACTTGATATCACGCACCTGTAGCAAACGTCGCACACAGCACGGCGAGGACACAGGCCCAGATGGTTGTCATCTTGTAGCGGCTGGTAGCTGGCTTCGTGCACATCACAAAAAGAAACACTCGGAAACTGATTTCTCCAGTCGCGAACCTGAGGCGTCAAACTTCCAGGCGCGAACAGACGCAAATCAACACAAAAAACTCGATTGTAGATCGCGATTTATCGACGCGGACGAACAACAGGTGTCGCGGAAACGCGCGGGTTCCTTCCTTTCTGTCCGGAACGTTAATCCGGAAATTCGGGAATCGTCGACACGTACGTCTCGAGGAGACCGGGAGGTGCGAACGAGAACGACCGGAGAGCTCGACGCGCGAAGACCGTCTGCCGCGCGCTTTACTTTCGGAACACTTCGTGAGACATCGGCGGCCAGCCGAGATCGCCCGAGCGCGCCGCGATCTCCCCACCCTTCGGCCGCGCGCTCCCACCTTCACACGCCTCTACGCCACGCGTGTGTGTGTGTGTGTGTGTGTGTGTGCCTACTTTCTCGTTCCATAACCTTCCCCTATCTTACGCACGTCGCATCCGCGTCGCGCCGTATTCATTTCCAAGCACACGCGCGATCAAACATGATCCTTGAATCGACGAATTTGTATCCTCCGCGAACGTGTTATTCTATCGACATCGGCCTCTATTCATTCGACACGTATGTACGTACGTACGTACATAACGCGATATATTCAAGACGCGCAATAACTTCATGTAAGATGGCGGGCGAGAGGCAAATAAATTCTTTTACCACGCGAATATTCATCTAAAGAAATTCAACGGATGCTTCTGATATGCCGAAGTACTCGAAGGTCAGAGATGCTTTGCCTTTGAACGCACTTTATTTTGATAATAATATTAATATTACAATATTAAAATGAATTGTGGGTGCAAATTCAGGGAGGACATCTTTGATTCCGAGAGCTAACTTTGAAGAGTTGTTTCTTGCATCGATATCGCGACATTTAAAGCGAAGCAATTACTTGGCAATTATTTTCCAATGAAAAGTATCATCAATCTCGAGCGCGTATTTATTACTACGACACTGTTACGTCACTCAATCGCGTCGCGCGAGGAATTTGTCCTTGATGGTAAAAACACGGGAAGGACGCGAGCGATCGTACTTTGAAACGACAACGTTGGAGGATGTAACAGATGCATATATCTACGAATAATACGACAGCCGCCCGATTGTTTCTCGACACTCCCGGCATGACACACTTTAGAGACGTTTTACAGACGATATATTATTGAACGAATTGTATTTATATCACGAATAGACATCTTGGCGCCGAATAACCGCACAACACACTGAAGATGGACACGAATATTAAATATCTCAACTTCCAATTCCGTTCACTGGCGCTGCGATCCGATTGGACGTTTCGGAGTTTGTACGTAAATCACATATAACTGACACTACGCGAAATATTCGAGAGAGAACGATAATATTTTAATAAACATTTATGTACATACATCGAACATACACGCGGGACACTAATGTACGAATAAGTGTCGTAAAAAGTCCTAGACTGAACTCTCGCGATAGCCGAGATGGTACTAAACGAGGAACTGTCTCGAAAAAAGCCAAGTAACCTTGTGTGCAGGGAAGGAGATTCTCGGAAGACAAGAGAGCCCGGTCGCGAGTGAAGCTCTGTGTGTGTATGTATATATATGTGCTCCGGTTCGAAATGTCTATTGCAATGCGTCGAACACGGTAATTTCCGTAGAAATTGAAACGAGATAAAGCGCGATCCTAAAAAGGGATACAAAAAAAAAGAAGCGAAGCGAGCTAACCTTTAGTTATCGTTTAATATAAATAGCTAAATTTTTGGGAAAATCTTTTCCTGGTTTCTTTAATATTTTTCAATGATAATTTCTCGCTCGATATAATTTCGATCGTCGTGAAAAATAATTCAAACTTTTTGCTATTCTTATTCGAACGCATAATTTATGTAACATGCTGTCAAGGATGATAAATCGATTATCTAGTAAAATCGCGACGCGTTTAATTAATATTTATATTAGTGAAAAATTATACATGATATTCCTTCTCCTTTTCTTTCTCTCGTTCGTATTTTATATTCGGTTATATTTATTTATTTTCTGTCGCGATGCGGTATACATAGTATCAATTATTATGCACTTATTTCACGTCATAGAAACTAGCACTAAATTAATACACGTCATGACAGCCATATTTAATTTGCGCTATGAACTCGAAACTTTGGAATTGGACTGCAGTATTTGTACGACATTGGAAGTGATAAGTTTAACTGCTTAGTCACTTGTGCAAATTTAAAATATAATTATTTAATCGCAATCGCGAGTATCTCGTGAACATCGAAATCAGTATCGTATATATTATGGTGTCTAGTGAATATTGAAAAAAAATCAAATCAGTCTATATTGGTACACTATTTTAATTAACATTCGGTCTCGCGACATAACCTGTTTTTCGATAATTTGATTTTTATATATATATATATATATATATATATATATCATATTCGAGTCACGATTTTATATAAATATTGAAAATAAATATTGTCTGCAAATAAGATAGAAGAATATATATAATGTCAAGAGTGTCGAGAAAAGTATACTGGGTGTTGTATGTATTAGACGTTGATACAATATATATATATATATATATATATATATATATATATATACCGATATATATATAGGTCGTGTAAATATATGATAGTTATCGAGTAATCAGAATTCCAATTGTATTGCTTGTTAAACATATTACTAAAATTCCCGTGAGATTTAGTTTTCAAGTATAAATGTTGCCTATATTATCGAGAATGTCGAGGAAAATATCGGGAGTGTCGAAAAAAAATATCGGGAGTGACGAAAAAAAATATCGGGAGTGCCGAAAAAAGAAACGGGTGATAATCATTACGCGTAGATATACTGTCATGTCGATAGTGTGAACGTGAAATAGTTTCGTCAAGATATCTCTCTGCATCAGTCCTCAGATCAGTCCTCAGATATCATTCAGTAAGTATAATAATTTAACGGAGAAATTTATAAAATAATTATAGAATAACTTTTTATAGAATATATATATAATTTTTTATAAAATAAATATATTGCCTATTAAATAAGCACACACCTAGCATTCAGAATTTATAAAAAAATATCAGGCGATCATTATATTATACGAATATATGAGTTGATAGTTAATAAAATGATTAAATCACTAGGAAAACAAAAGATTGAAATTCTAAAGAATAATATTTAAAATAATTATTTATCATATTTATTTTGGCATTTTTTCGTAAGATATAACAAACTCAAAATTGTCGAAATTTTCAACTGCTCTTTTTTCAGTTATATATTTTTCAAGATATACAATTGTTTGAATATATCGACTTAAAAAGTACTTAATGATATCTCGGATAAAGTATGATTTAACATCCGATCGGATGCATAATGTAGTGCTGAAGCATCAGCTTGAGATTAGATTTGTGCAACCGCTCGGATGACAAGCTCGTTCGGGCAATCCGTTGAGCGTACTTACTTTAGGTGCCGATTTAATCTTTAGCGAAGGTAAGCGGACTCACGACATTATCTACCCGCTTATCTATAGTCTCTTGGACTTCGGAGAATCTAGTGGGTTATGTATCTTTCGTCCGAGTATGACGCGCGCGATGTATTATCCCTCGGTTAATGTCGTACCATAAGGCTTAAAGATAATCACGATGATGTATGAAATCATCTCACACAATTCTAGAAATGCTATTATAAAGTAAAACAATGCGATCAAAAATCAACTGAATTATACATTTTAATATCATTAAATTTATAGAAAATTTTATAAAAATTTCAATGAATAGTTTCATAATTCATATTTCATATATTATATAAATAAATTATTAAATTGATTGATTTGAGAGAGAAAGTTATTCTTTGTTAACTCATAGGATAATGTATTCGGGAACGCGAAGGACTTTAAAAGAAACAAATGAATTAGAAGTTCATAAAGTCATAATGTTTGTATTGTATGTATGTTTTCAGTAGATGTATATATATTATATTGCTAGATTAAATATTATATTTGAAGGGAAGATGTATATCGCGCGCGCTCACTCACGCGCGAGATCTTAACTATTAAATTTATTTTTAACTTTTTGAATTTTCGTAAAACTGTAAAAGCAGCAAAAGACGGGAAAGTAGTCGCGTTACTTTAAAGTAGTTCCTCCAAAGTTGAGCCATAATGTAAGCACAGTCTATATAAGTAAATCAATATTATACGTAAACGACCCTGCCGTCCCGAGTACATATAAAGAAGCGCCTTATCTTTATTCTCTGACAAATTCGGAAGAAATCCACGGAATTGTAGCACGCGATAAGAGTAATCAAAATGAGATAAAACAGATCGTGATCGCAAGCTGATACTCGTAAATTACGCGAACGCGAACAAAGCCGAGAGTTTGTTGCCGAGCTCGCAGTCGTTATCGCACATATCGCATAAAGCGGAGGAAAGAGGCCAATGATACGTCAAGATACGACGTGCAGGTGAATGAAAACGAGCGCGGGGAATCACGTATTCCGGCAAACACGCGGATGTATGCGATACAATAATGAACAGGTATCGATATTTATTCGTTTGCAACATCGTTACAGGTTTCTGCGAATGCGATTCGTCGACTGCAATATGATGCACGTGAATACGAAGCGGCATTTCATCGTGGCTGGCGCAATCAATGCCACAGCGGAGAAGCCCTAGGGAAGATCTACCCTCCGCACGTGTAACAGGTAAGAGAAATGTTGATCACGATCTCGGTGTCGGTCGTCACGAAGCTACCATTGTTGTCGTCATTGTGTAACCGCGTGTCATTTACATGAAAAGAGATAGAAACATGTGTGTCCTTTGCCCGCATCACAGGGATTATATTGGTGGCTTATGTTATCTACATTTCGACTTATAATAATTAGAACGTTTATTATTTCCAAAATATGAAAAAAAAGTTAAATAATTATAATTTATGCTTCATAAAAATGCATTATTTGAAATTCATTTTATTCGTGATCAATTATTTCTGAACAAACAATTTTCATTTATATAAACATATGATCGTGATATAACATTTTAACAAATTAATAATGGATATAACAATTATGTTCTGATGCATAAAATAATAAATATGAAAAATATACAACTATACACCACGTATAGGATTGTTATCACTATAATTATTTCAACAAAATTTTGATAAAATTGTAACAAAAAGAAGAAAATAATGCGATATTTACATAAGCATCTCGTGAATATTTTCTGGACGTCAGGACAATTTCATTAAAACAAAAACAAATTGTGAAAAACAGGAACGTATAAATATTACAAGTGTAATGAAATAAAGTAGAATGTAGAGCAAAGTTCACGAGATGCGATTTTGTACCTTTTCGCGGTTTAACGTTGATATCATCGGACGCTTTGACGAGAATGTTTTAATAGACAGCAAAGCGATATCACGAAATTTTTCCGGTACGTTTTACGATGATCATCCTTTTTTTTTGCGTGCAACTGTGATAACAATACTAGAAAAACTAGAAAGCACGATCTTCTATTTTTTTATCATACATATCAAATATATATATATATATATATATATATATATATATATATAAATATAACAAACAATAACAAAAAATAAAATAAATATTTCCGGAAAAAAATATTGTTATTTATAAAATAGATTACAGTGAAATTGAATACACCGACGTGTAACAATAATATTTGACATGAGAATTCGAGAATAAAGTAAAATTGTGAACAAATGAAATAAAGATATGGACTAAAATTTTCTTGATGAATCAATGAATTAAGAATACTAAGGGAATTTTACAGAAATTGATATAGTCAAGATAAAAGTAAAAAATATTATAATATTATAAATTATTTTTTTATTACCAAATATGCAATATTTTAATTAATCATAATCATATCAGTTGTAGATTTTGTAATTATGAATATTTTTATTAATTTCTACTTATGATTAAAAAAACTTATAGTTTTTATTATTTCAAAATTTTAAAATTTTTATCAAACAAGATAATATAAAGAGTACGAATAAAACCGTTACCTAAAATTTTCGTTACGGTTCCATGAAAAATAATTGATAAAAGTAATTTTTATAAGAGTAATATTAAAATTTTTATAACAATAAAAAGTAAATACTATCTCGGTCCATCTGGAAACTTTCATTTGTAATATAAGAGTCATAAATTTTATTTTAAGCCAAAAATGGAGTTCAATCTCAAGTTGAGAAAATTTTTGACAACAATTATCCGTTTTTTCTGTAAAACTTTAATGATAAAAAGAGAAAAGCGTATCTTCGAACATCAAAACTTAATCTTTTTATATCACAGCAAATCTTTTTTTGGTCACGAATAAATTTACTTTTATCATTTACGTTATGACTACTACGAACCATCATTAAAACGGTTCGCGCTCGCAGTTAGAGATCTTTTGGTGATAAAGTTTCGGTACATGATCAAACGATCTTGGTAACCGTTTCTCTGTAGCGGAGTTCTCTGTACATTGCTTATAAAATCGACTAATCGAGTTGACTGTAGTTATAAACGTGCACGCGTACATATAATCATGTTAGGTCGAAACAGCCAAATTTGTAGCTGGTGGTAGTCACTTGCTTCGTAAGTTTGCTAAGTTACGATCATTCCTCTGAACCATCTATTTCAACCATTTATATCCGCACCATCGCCTATACACGAAATATCTATAAAACGAATTTGTTTAATCCGCAAAAATTGATAGGATACTTAAATGAGAGTGATTGAATATCTAAATTTTGACACGTATTTTTTCTGAAATATTTTTTGTGCAATTTTATATAAATATTTTTCAATTTTTTAAATAATTTTGTATTTTTAATCTATTATTATTTTTAAAAAGAAAAAAGTAAGTTTTATATAAACAAAAATTGTGAATCAAACAAAAATTTACTTATGTATGTGCTTTATACATTTTGCTCTCATAAATTATTAATTATTGATATATTGTTTTCTATTATTTTCCTAATCGGACACAAAAAGATATGATTTTAAATTCATAACGCGATAATTTTTTGAATTTTATATGTCAATTATTTTTGTAGAAACAACGTTACATTTTATTAAAATATATCTGACGCTTTAATGAAAAATAGTATTTGTGAACTCTTGTAAAATTATACAATAATTTTCTCCAGAATGCGGTACAATATTTTGATTCATAATATAATTAAAGCAGATCGAAAGGAAATGTTATGACTTGCAACTTATTCTCCTAAACATAACTTCCTAGGAAATACTAAGGCTCCTTTTGTACTTCATATTTTCTATAGTAAACTATTATCGTTTGAGACAAAACTTTTCCTTGATAGTACAGAAACAATATCACATGATATCATAGATATGATAACAAGTTTCAGCTGACGCATGAATAATGACCCCTTAATTAACGACTACTGGAATTACACGCTTGTATGAATTTGTTTTATATCTAAATAATGCTGTAATATTCATTATCGCAACTCGCAACATATCAGAAAATTCCGTCATTGCTTAGCTTCTGTTTATTCACTGTGATGGCATTTTGCCTTTTTATATAATCATATATCTTATATATTTAATATATTTAAAGTAATTTATATAAAAATAACTTACAAAACGAATGTTGATATAAAAATTAGGAATCTTTTATTATTCATTTTTCTTTAATTTTATTCAATATAAGCAATTTTTTACTTAAAATGAATTTACTTTTATTTCTATACCAAAAAATATATTAAAAAAGAAATTTAATAGTCTATTTTTCACATCTAATATCCATGAGGTTTGTTTTCTTATGTAATTAATATCATCGTTAAAATAATCATAGATCAGTTTTCTTTTTAGAAAAATACGAGAACAATGTTTCTAAATATTGAAAATACAATTTGATATAACGAACTGATATAATGAACAGAGATGATAGCTGACAGCAGCAAATGTTGATCTCCTAACTGACGGCAAGCCGAGTTGCACGTTTGTATTAACAGGTTTCATAGCCAGTTTATACAGTTTATACTACTATTGTCATAATTAGCAACATATATATGTAAGAGGCGCACATTAGAAAGTTACGTCATTATTTTATTAGTTAACTAGTTACTAGAAATTATACGATTTTTTATTTCCTTGATATAAGATATATTAAGAGATTTACAATATTGTACAAGATAAACTAAACTATTTATAATATTACAGTATTACATAAAATATGTCAAGTATTTACAGTTTTACTTGACTGGAAATTTTTGGTCAATTTAGAATTATATTGTAATAAAATTTTAATTTTATTTCATTTCTCTCTTTTCTTCTTATGTAGAAATCTTTTATATAATTTGTTAATATTAAGTATCTTGTTAATTCTCTTTACTCTATAAAAACTTCCAAATTGCTTTTTTCCTATTAAAGATATAACCAGTTTGGGATTAAGTGAATAATGTATGTAATAATTGCACATTTGAGAATTTAATTGTCTAGAATTCTTTAATCTTCATGTTTATTACTAACAATAAGAGAGAATCTCTATTATTCTTATAAATTTCCATATAATTTATATGTAAAATAATTTACGTATATATAACATGCAGCAAAACACAAATATATGTAATATTATTATAGCATCAAATTAGTAAAACTCTTGAAATTGCGATTTGCTTATGAAAAAACGGTTTGATGATCTTAATTTACGCGATTCAAATATGGTTTGCAGTATCGTATGAGTTATTACTGTAATCAAATGAACATGTGCTCGTCCAATCAATGTAGATTCATGTCGCACTAATATATATTGATCTATTCTAATCAGAGCCTTTTTGAACTGCTATCGTTTCTCACAATTTATGTTGCAGATATACCATATATATATAAAATAAAAATGATCAATTAATTTAAAAATAACATTTTTGTACGCAAAATGTTATTTTTAAATTAATATTGATCATTTTTATTTCATCGTGTTTACAAGAATTTGGAATTATATCTTTAAATATAAACGTAAGAATTTTTTTTTATTATCTTGAAATTATATTATCTATCGTCTCTAAAGTTTGCAAATTACGTGCTATAATCGCATTTTATGTGTTAAAGGGCCTAATATTGGCTTAATGCGAACTCCTCAGTTGATATTTCAATCTCGTAATTATTCAATGATCTTCCGTAAGTTTTGCGAGATGCTAAGCGTGCGGATCTTGTTATATCAGCACGAGTGTAGCTTAAGTTCTTAACATGCTTCGAAACAATTTAAAGTTCAATAATTGACAGAAACATGTGCGTTTCATAACTGTATTAGCCTTCATTATTGTGCGCGACAGAACTTTGTGCAAAAATATATTTGATTACTCGGCCTCGTTACGCTAATGGGCTCCTTGTTATCCCTTTAACACAGTAGGTGCTCTCGGTATCGCAATTAGTATCAATCCTATCAACTTATTTATCTTGCTACTTTGAATTTGGGACCGAACGTGATTGCCTGTTTATACTTGCTTACTTTAGACGAGAGTATGTATTGTCCTCTCCTAAGGGTTGCTAAACAGATTTTATCATCAGTGAAAATACATAAATGTATTCTCGATAATATTAAGCGATAATTCTCTTTTTTTTACAAGAAAACAGAAATTGCACAATAATATAACATATCAAAGTGCATCGTGTATGGTTAACGCAAATATTAAATAAAAATAAAAGAAACAACAGATATTATTGTAAAA